CAGTAGATGTAACAAGATGTTGCTTTTCAAGACAAATTGTTGTTGTTAATGTACTAATGGTGTATTCATGTACTTTGTTGGTAATGCTTATCATGGTGTTTTGATGTACCTTGTTGTTAATGCTTATCATGGTGTTGTACTGTACTTTGTTGTTAATGTCAATAAGGGTGTAACGCGTATTTTCTTGTTAATGTTTTAACTAACTTTGTACGATATAGGGTAATATAGCAATATATGTTATATATAGATAACATCTTCCAGTAATGCAAATAAAAAGTGCAACATCAAGTTAGAACTTATACATTTTTTTACATCTATCAATCTGAATCCAAGGATTGATCTGCATGCCCGGCCTCATGAGGTGTGAGTATGCATTGTCGACGACGATCTCGTGCTTCACGATGAGGGTTGCGACACACATCTTGTACGTCCGCATCAGCAGCAACAATAAAATCTGCATTAAGGTCAATGCCATGGTCCGAACCTACTTGGAATGATGAGGTTTCCCAACCTTGCCCACTCTGATGACCTCCTATAGCTGGTGCATCAGGTTTAAAGAGAGATGGCTCATATGGAGGAGGTGTCATGTAGAAGCTACCCTCGGGAACATAATATTGACCACTGCTAATTGGAGATGGAGGAGGATGTGAAAATAAGATGTCTGAGTGGCTTGTGAAGGATTGAAGGGAAACTGTGGTGGGACATAATAGACGTCGTCCCTGCGTTCTGGCAAAGGGGGAAGTGACCACTCTGTCGCCTACAAATTGTACCATGAGGAACATGTAATGCAGATAACTACAACATTGTAATATGTTTAAAATAAATTTTATCGTGTATTACCTTCACTTCTGTTCGACGACGTTGCAAACCTTTTCCTTCCTTACTGGTTGACCAATGTCAATGGCTGGATCAGCTGAATTTCCACTTTGAATGGGAGGGTCAAACGATGAAGCAGGCTCCAATATGCGTTCTTGCTCATTCTGTAGTGAGAGCATGGTCTCACATAACTCGTTCATCTCCTCAAATGAAAATGAGTCTTTACCATCATTACATAAGTAATATGCTCTTTCATGAGCATCTCCCTGCAATGTCACAATATAAACCTTTAACAAATAAGAAATATAAATCACAATCAAATAGTATGTTGTTGTTTTTCATATTACTTACAAGTAATGTAAATACAGCTGCATCTCTAGTCATCCATCATCTGGTGTGAGCAATGTACCATCGCATATATTCAGAGTTAGAACTTAACAACCCAAACTGAGGATCATTAGTCATTACCCAAGCCTGACGCATGTCCCATAGCTCCACTACGCCCCTGAACTTAGCCGACCAATTCTCACTAGTCTTCCCTCTTAAAGTAAGATCATGTAGCTGGTCAAGTTGGTATTGAGCACGAGGAATATGTTGAACCATGAAATTGCCGCATTACACGGTCAGGTTGGTGCCACTCACAAATTTGAAAACATATAAGTGGCACAACTGACCTCTAAATATTCAATCCTTCAGTGCATATGGCAGGCAAATAATTCATCAACTCCATACTATACGGTTGCCATACAATCTGCAAAATAGTAAATTAGTTGTGAATATTAAATAACCCATCCTGTAGATGTTGTATCAATGTTTATTAACAAAATACCTCATCACACTTCAGATGATCAAACTTATATCTGTAGTAAGCAAGATCTCTCTTTCTTTTATTATAACTCCGACTCACTAACCACCTGAAAGACACACTTATAAATTAAGTATCATGGTGAAACAAGTTTGAAAAGTAATTCATAAATTACACATACAGAAATTCAAAACATACCGTGCACCGTAAGGAAGATTCAGTTGTGTGTGTTGAGGATTATTAGGCTGTAAAAATGGAAACCTATCCCATGCCCACATCATAAGTAGTGGGGTTAATCCTCCAATACCAGAACGGTCAATATTGGTCGGCATGCATAACTCCCGGTATAGAAATGCCAATGTTGCCGCTCCCCAACTATACTCTCCTGTGATAGTAAAATCCTCAAGCAATGGAAGGTATCTAACTGGGACCCTACTAGAGGAATGATTAGCCAACATGAAACCACCTATTAATCTCAGAATATAAGCTCTAGCAAAGCGAGTAAGCTGAAGTTCATTATGATTATGCATTGCAACATGAGTAAAGTGTTGGTCCAACCAACTCAACTTCAAACTGCTCCCTGCAAATGCATCATCAGGTGGCCTAATACCAAGCAAATCCTCCACAATTTGTGCTTTATTACCTCCAACAGCTGCAATGACTGTCTTTCCATCTATACGAAGCCCTATTTGAATAGTAATGTCCTGAAGAGTTATAGTACATTCTCCAGGAGGCATGTGAAACGTATGAGTCTCTGGCCTCCATCTTTCTACCAACGCTATAATACGATGTCGGTCAATAGGAAAACATGCCAACTGAGCTACCCCAGCAAATCCAGCTAAGGTCAGATGAGGAAGAATCTCCATTGGAACCCCTTCCATGCCAGCCGATATGAAATGACTCATTCTCACCTTCAGAATTGAGTGCTCACGTCCATCCCAAATATGCTCCGATACGTGAACACTCTGAAACCTCAATATTGAACCATCCTTCAGTCCAGGATTTAAAACCCTACTCCGCGATGAAGATGATGTCATCTAAAATGAAATTTGTCAACTTAAACTTAAATTATGTATGTTAAAATTAATAATATAAAAAATCTATTCAATTAGTACATGGGTTTTATTACAATTTCAAAATTTAAAAATAACTCTAAAATTTATTTCATTTAATTATTATATTGTTAAATTTTATTAACATTTTAAAAACTTTTACATTTTATTTTACAATTATAAAATGTAGCAATAAATATAATTACATGCACTCTTTTAAATATCAAATTTTACAATTACAACAAATAAACAAATATAATTAATACATATTATGTATTTATCAAGTTATTATCTGCAGAATTTTTTTAATTTAATAATTAATACATATTATGGATGGCTATAATTTTTATTTATTACATTTTGAACAAATGATTATAAATAATAACACATACATTATATAATTTTTTAATTTCATTCATATCTAAAATATTCTTTGTTTAAGAATAAAATGCATTTTAAAACCAATTTTATACCTTATTTATAAAATCCTTTAAAGTAAATCACATAAATTATAAAATTTGTAAAAGATAATAATGTATTATTTTTTACCAAATTAAATACTACATTCTTACTAATAATAAAACTTATGTTATGTTAATTTTCATCAAATTATTATTATCTTCATTTATTATAATTATTCAATTATTATCTTATTTCTTAATAATTATATTAAATTTACTATATCTAATAATTTTTATTTCACTAATTTCTTTATATATCAATCTACTATCAAATAATTTACAATTATTATTTTTTTACATTATTTATTTAATATTTTCACTGCATTCTGTATATATTTTTTCATGTTCATGTTTTTTATTTTTTTCTAAACAATATATTTATATATATTATTCTTTCCTCTTAATTTATCAAGTTATTAAAATATAATTTTATTTCAAATTTTATAATTAATATATTTTATGGATTACTATAATTTTTTTTTACATTTCAGAACTACTAATTATATTAAATAATAACATATATATTATATATTTTCTAATATAATTTTTCTAATATATTATTTGTGACAAAATAAAAAAAATTAATTAATAAATATTTAAATATTAAAATAAAAAACTTGTGCACCTCCGTAGCTTTGTAAACAAGTTTGAAGGAACCCTCTTCTCTTCTTCACCAGCACCCTTCACTCATGAGCATCCACCCACAATTTCACCTCCATCACAGATTCAATTTTACATACATATGCAATTTTATTTTTAAAAAGCAAAATCTATTCAAAATATTAATCTCAATACTTTTTAATAATCTTTTGCTATAAAACCTTAATACTAGAATCTAACAAAATGGTTAAGAAACGCTGTTGCTGTGTTTTTTTTCGGGCAACCACACCCTTCTGCAAGCGAAACGGAGAAGATGGAGGAGAAAGGAGAAGCCTGCGCCCAAACATTCAAAATTCTTTGCCACGTGGACCAATAAAATTAGTGTTGTCCTTGACTAAGACGACACTTCTGAATCGTCCTTGACCCTATCGACATTAACGTCGCCTCTGACTTAGACGACTCTGTAGGATTTGTACACGTGGCTTTGTTCATCCCCAGCCGTCCATTCAAATTAGTGTTGTCTGATAATTGGACGTTTTTACTTTTTGGTGTCGTCCCTCTCATAGACGACTTCACTGTCATGTGCCCACACAACCCCAGACAAGAAATTTCTTTACATGCATGCTTATTTTGGTATTTTGTTTTCAAATTAACCCTAAAAGGGCAAAAAAACCTTGACCGTGATCTTAATCAGAGTTCAAATATCACTAAATTAGAGTCTGTTTGTTTTTTGTTGTTAGAAACAATTTTTTTAAAGGAAAAATAAAATATATTTGTTAACATAAGTTTTATTTTCATTATTTTCTTAAAAATAATTTTTAAAACTATTTTAAAGTATAATTTTTAAAATTAAAAACTAAATCAGAAACAAACAAGCCCTGTTATTCGCTAATAGTGCTTCACTCATTTAACCCATCGAACAGAACAAGTGTGCAAGGACAGAGAGAAGTGTATTGCATAAAAAAGAGAGAGTAAAGAATATGAGAGTAAATTGTCATTTCTTCCTTGGCTGGTGCGTTGTTAAGTTGAAGATACATGTTTTGAGTTGTGAAAGACACAAAATCACAAACTGCAAAAAAGTACTGAATATAAGAGAAAATTGTCTTTTCTTTCTTTCTTTCTTTCTTGATTTTAGTGTTTTTCATTTATATTCTTCGTAACTCTTTCACCATATGGTCAAGTGCATTAATGTTCACATTCTAGGAATCTGGCAAGTATGAAAATTGAAATTTAATTGGTAAAGGAAAACAATACCCTCTATCACTACCTCTTACATAAACTTTAAAATAATTGACTTTCATTCTTCAAAGAAATGTATTATAATTCAACTCATCAAAATTAATCACAATATACAAATTACAATTAACCACTACTATATGCTGATTTTCACAAACTCTTACACAATCCATTTGCTGCATAATGATTTCTTGTACACCTGTTATGTCATCTGATGAAAGCATTCTCTCGACTATATTTTCGGAGCTTTGAACAAGTATTCATTGTTCTGTCATGAGTTTGTTCCTTAAAAATTAAAACATATCTGCTTCTACTCTTAGTGCGTACAAAATTTGCACTAGCGAAGATCACACAAATCTAGTTAACTATATTCCCTGTATAACCAAAATGATATTCATTAATATGCAGTGTTCACTTCTCAGGTCCTTCACAAAATGAGCCCTTGCAACATCACAAGTTCAAAGGATGATTTTTATGATAATTGTATAACTTCGCTTTTCTCAGACCTCACAGAAGCATTACCCCTAAAGGGAGTATGTTCAATTGCATAATACTTACCAAATAATTGCTCAAAAATGGGTCATCTTTTTCGGCAGATTGTCATGCCATCTCCAATGGGTACCTGAGACTCTCCAAGAGTTAAAAGATTATGAATCAACTTGACAGAATCTCTCTGAAAGTGTATAAATAATTATAAATGGATAAAACTTAAGTATAATATCATTGACGCTTTTGGTGTAGTGGTCCAATAAAAAATTAGTTTCACCTTGGTAACTCGTGCAATAACGATCAGTGCTAGTTACTAAGGCGAAAAAACTCAATTTTAACCAAAACATTATGGTGTGGTACCTGAGTTGTCTTTAGAAAAATTGTTATAAACCTACCATACTGATGTTTACTCGCTTGTCTTCCAATAACTGCTGATTAAAATTTCTAATGCTGATAGTTTTAGGGTCATTTACCTGCAAATAGTATATTTAACTGAAAGTCAAGTTCATTTAACAGGAAATCAAGGAAAAACACAGAAGGATTTATTCACCAACGGGTCAGCAACTTTTCCATGCCAAAGGACATTATCAATTACAATAATACCTCCAACCCTGACCTGCAACAATAAATTATTTGAGTGCATCAGTACAACCGTTCATACATCATAGGAAGCCCAATAAGAAAGTTTATGAAAAATTGTGATTAAGTGGGCAAAAGAGCCTTTGAACACATTTCATGTTTTACTATGTTCTTACCAGTTGTAGTAGCTGTTCAAAATATTTCTGATTCATTCTTTTCTCAGCATCGATAAATGCAAAATCATAGCTGCATGAAAAGGAAATATTTCATAAATGCTTCTTTAGTTGTTTTTTCTCTGACAATGTTAACATCATATAGAGTGGATCCTTGACTATCACATAGAGTGGACCTGGACTAACAATAACTATTGAAAGAGAACGTTGCAAATATGGAAGATCTCCTGACCACAACAGCAGAATGAGAAACATCACATCATTCATTGTGATGTTGAAAATCCACATACCTTCCTGCTTCACCATTCAGAATTAAAGAATCTAGGGAATCAACTGCAAGTCCAAGTTTTACATCCACCTAGAGTTAATTATGTTAAAAATCAGAAAATACAGGCAAATGAGTCCCCATATTCCAAAGCGATAAACATAAATTTGGAACTTTTTCAAATCATAAGCATAAGAGTAGCATATACCTTATGTGAAACACCAGCTAGCTGATAATACTTCTTGGCAACATCAAGGAATTTGGCATCTCTTTCACAGGCAACTAAATGACCTGATTCTGGCAGGACTAATGCTATGGCTAGTGATGAGTATCCCTGAGTCAAATTAACAACATAATACCTCATTAGTGGTGGATGAGAACCTGCTTAAACAAATTTGGGCATTGCAATGGAAACAAGCCGATAAATTGTATAGCAATGTTCACAAATAAAACTGGTCTTCATTTTAAAACTCAATAAATTCATTGATACAAATTCTTCCCCCTATAATATTTCACAAAATCTGTCATTTGAGGAGAAAAGACAAGGGCAGAGCTCTGGTTCACAAAGCAAGTTAATACACACCAAAGATTGGGGAAGAAAAAAAAAACTGTTGTCTGAAAGTTATAAAGTGGACCAGTAGTAAAGTTCATGAAAAAATTTTAGCCATTTGCACTAAAGTTGATGACGATTTATTTTTCCAATGATTATGTTGTACATGAATTTTTACAGATGAATTCCACTTAACTGAGATGGTACATCAAGTTATTTAATTTCATGGTCATTAATTGGAATCCTCAGGAATTTATATTCAAATGAAAATTTTCTCCCATGAATTTCCTATGTTAGTGATATTTAGATCCAAATATAATGATTAAACAAAGGTAAATCCAAAGATATCACATACATACAAAAAAAATTTGTTCCATCCAAAATTTATGATTAGATTATTTGAGAAGTATGCATTGCATCATTATAAGACAACCAGTTGTCAACCCTGTGTAGTATGAGATATGAAGTGGTATCATCTACTATGTAACATGAAGACAATAGGTATAGGGTATAAAATCAAAGAACATACAGTATAAACACCAACTTCAATACATCGTTCTGCTCCAAGAATCTGCACAAGCATTGCAAGCAGTTGCGCCTGATCAGGGGACACCTATTAAGAAGACAATGCATTGTCAACATTTTACTTCTTGCTAAGCAGGTGAGCTTACAATGTGAAACATGACAAACAACATAGAAGACAAGTAAAAGTGCAGTGCATTCTTTCCAGACCAATTCTTTATTTTGCCCTGTCAAATTTTACAATTTCAAACTTGATCCCTGACAGGATATCGATACATTAGTACCAATAAATTAATTAACAGTCATGTTTATGTATGAGAAAGGGCATATAAATAGATAACTACCCTAAAACATATTTCCATTTCATTTTATCAAGTTGCAAAGCTTTTAAAGAACATATTTGCATACCTAATAATTACAAGAAGACCAACATGTTTGGGAACAAGTCCGGTGATTCAAAATAACTACTTTCCTGACTAAAGCAGTTTTTGAGGTCAACCAATCAGCATCAATACTTTCATAAGAACCAGATATGATTATGTACAGCGTCAATAGAAACAAACAATGAATGAAAGGTACAATTATGCTACCATACTTTCATAAGAACCAAATATGAAGTAGAAACCCCTTCTTGCACAATGAAAACATAATATACAAGCATAAAGGGAGCGTTTGGAAAAGCTTATAGAGAGCTTATAAAAATAGCTAAACTCAAACAGCTTTCAACTTATTGTAATAAGTTTTTTTTTTTTTTAATACAACTTATCAAAATAAGCTCTTTTCAGCTTATTGTAAAAAGTTTTATGATTAAATTCATAGCATAAAGATTGTACTGAATAAACACTTAATTAAGCTATATTCTCAAATGCACTCAAAGTCAATATTAAAAATTCTATCAGTAAATTGTGTTAGTAACTTTACAAAAGAACGAAACAATTAGAGACACCTGCATCTGACTTCCACGCAAAGAAGCCGTCTCCTCCCGCAGTTGCCTTAGAATCTGAAATGCAAACACTTAACAATAAGCACCAAGGGAAACTTAACAAACAAAGAGACACCCCAAAAGAAAAAGAATGATTTTTTTTTTAACAATGAATGGAGCAAAAGGGTATGTTCCTCACCTCAGGTTCTCTAACATTTTTGAGAACATAGTCATAGAGGTGGGGAGTGAGACTAACAACCTGCTTGTTACCATAGTTTTCATCACTGGCTATAACAAACTCGCTGGTGGAAGAGCTTCTTACTAGCCGTTTCCACTTGCATCTGCATCTCCTGAAAGTGAAGCAATAACAACAAGAAGCATTGCAATTCTTCCACCTTTGTGATGAGACATGGAGGGGTCTATCAGTGACAGTGCAAGTTGCAGAAAACGAATGAAGGAATGCAGGTTTCAGTAGAGAAGCTGCAGCAGGTTCATGGGGCAACATTGACCTGTGATGAAGCAACAAGTTGATGCTCCTATCTGCCATAACCTTGTATAACAAAGCCTATCTTCCTCGTACCTCTCTTTTTTTCCTTTCCAAATACCCTTTTGGAATTTTCCCTTAGAGGCAATTCTACAAACAGTTGGTATAGGAGTTGGTTCAGCAGAAGTGACATAACTCTCTCTGAGAGTTGCTTAAAAACAAGCAATTACGATGTAGTGAGTCGTAGATTTAAAGTTGTTAACTTAAAAAAGAGTTACATTAAAAAATATTTACTCAAAAAAAAATTGCTATATAATTACAACACAAAAATTAACATTACGAAAACTTTAAAACTAAAAAAGAAACACCATAATCACAACTAGAAAATAAAACTACATAAAAATGTTTTTAATATTTAGATTTTTCATTTAACCATGTCAAGAACTTATCTCACAATACTATCAAATAAGAGTATAAAATAAATAAAAGTTATATATAAATTTAAAATATTTTTAATTAATGCAACTTGAAAAAAATATTAATATATAATTTTTTTATTTTATTTTTCATTTAATTTAATCTAAATTTTATTTGTGTTATGAATTTAAATATGGTAGATGAGTCTATTATTAAAGATTTTTTTACATAAATAAAAATTTAAACTTAATACCTTACTTAAGTAATATTGAATTATTTGTCAATTAAACTAACTTCTATTAGTTAATTTATCATCTTTAACAATTTATTTAATAATTATTTTTATATAAAATTTACATCATATACATGATAGAATTTAATTTTAATTTAGAATTCTAATTTTTTAAATATGTTAAATATAAAATTATAATTTTAAATAATTTTAATTTTAGAAATTACAATTTTGATCATTGGAATTGAGATTTTAATTTTGAAGGTGAATTCTAATTCTCGTCTAATTTTTTTAAAAGCATTATTTTTAGAAAAATGATAACATCACTTATAATTAATAACTAAAATTTATTAAAAATTATAAAAATAGAAAAAATACATAACTTTTATATTTTTTTAATGTTTTAATTAAGAGCATATAAAAAAATATATTAAATGATATAGCTGATAAAAAGAATGAGCTTGAACCGAATCTGAGACGGTGTGGGTGGGTCAGCTAATTTGATAAATCCTGTGGCACTTTTATTGATGCCTGTGTGCGCAATCCACTTATCTTTCCACACACAGTTTTATCAATTTATTGTGATGTTTCGGTTTAAGGTAGGTTCTCTTGCCATTAATTCATGTTTCGAAATCTAACGTGTTGTAATCATGTAATGTAATAAAATAGAATTTAAATGAAATGAAATAAAATTATTATATAACCTTGACAATATTTTATGATTGTTTTTATTTTATATTCTCAAATAAAGAAAATATTTGAATGGAATAAAATAAAATAAATTTTATTATATTTCATTTTTATTTTAAATAATTCAAATAATAAAATTTAGTATCATTTTATTTCATTTCACTGTCGTTCATCACATTCTGTTTATCCTAATAAATTCTAAATCTTTTTAGGATCGTAAATGCAATGATAAGCTTTAAGATGAGTAAATATAACCCCATTTTTTAACAGCTTCCTATATCATGATTTTGGTTTATATTAAAACCTCAATTTTCTATTAAATTAAAAATAAATCTAAATAAATATTTTAATTTTTAAATAAATGCTATAAATTCAAATTTAAATGGAATTTTTATATTTGTTTTTTAGGTAAGTGAAAAAAAAAAAAAGAGAGGCAAAAACACAAGGACAAAGAAAAAAAGATCAGGACTCTATTTTGAAAATAATTGCATGGGATCTTTAGTTCTATTGATTATTTTTTTTTTATGTTCAATATTAAGCTTATATGTGTTGAATAAAATTTCAGCCCTTGGATCTTAATTGTAAGAGGTGTAGCTCTTCTTGGAACAGCACATGATCCAATTCCGAAAAAGAAAGGGGTGACAATTTAATCAGAAAATTGGTGGGAGATGTAAGATATGAGAAAATTGACATATGTGGCCGAATTGCAGTCAATAAAATTTGGTAATTACATATTTGTATATCAAAACATTATCTTAAAAGAGTGGTACTAAGATACAACATAGAAGCTACTCTCCTATGTAGTAACCAATTAATCTTTTGAAGAAAAAAGGTAAAATTAGATTGATGACATAGATTTTCTATATAAGATGATGAGTGACATGCATTTTTAACATTATCTATAGGCATAGCCCAACCCACTTGCATAATCACATTCCTTCCTACATGGGCAATGGCACACATGTATAGGGTACTAACACTTCTGTTTTGAGGACTCCAAACATGTATGAAAAAGATAGGAACAAACAGTTTCCCTTTTTTTGGATATTTTTTTTTCCATATTAAGAGATGGAAATGATAATGAAGAAAGAAAAGAGAGCTGTGAAACACACAAGGTGTTTGTGGCTGAGAACCACCACCTCACTTTGTTGATGAGATTTGGTTCAAAATAATACTCACCTCCAAAAGCTCATCCACTTGAAAATTCCAAATCTCTTTCACTTGCACATATACACGTTATAACAAGTTTTGAGGCCCATCTCACTTTGTCTCTATTCTACCACGTATTTATCAACTCTTGCTACTCTTCATTTCTTTCTGTTTCTATTCCTCACTAGGAGCTCCTCTCCACTGGTTCCTCTGCATGCACATAATTGCATAGTTTTAGAAACCAAGGTCTGCTTTTGTTTCCCATAAGCTATGTAGTTTGGTTCCATGCTCAATATATCATTATTTTATGTGACCCTTATAATCATGCTTCTTTTTTAGATAGACTCTAGAAGAAATGAAGATTGAAGGGTAGTGTTTGTGCAGTTATTTAAGTCTTGGTTGTTTTTTTCAGAACTGGCTTTGTGCATGAGTTTCAGGGTCACTTTTATTTGCTGAATCAAGTTTTGTGATTGGATAGTGTGTAGCATTAATCTTTTTTGCTTGTTTTCGTTGTTCTTCCTTTTTGTAAAATATGCTGTTTTTCTTACCTTTTATCTATCATATTTTAGTAGATTTTTAAGAAGGCTTCATCAATATAATGATGGGAGGGGTGCTATGTTGAAATATTAGAGGAAAACCATAGCATGTATAACCTTGATTTTGTTAGCAAAGAGATTTTCACTATGTAACTTTTTTCTTTCTACTATAGCTACTCTTTCCATGTGAAATTCAATATTTCCTCATCCAAAGTGCTTATTTGTTTTCTCTTTAATGTCCAAAGTCGGGGAAATTTTTGGAAAGTTTTTCTAATTTCCATTTATTTATTTATTTGAAAATTTTCTAGCTGAAATCAGCCCCAAATTTTATTAAGATTTTTCCAAAGGGTTTATTTAGATTGTACTTTTGTAGTTACTGATTTTGACGAAAGAACTCAGCTTAAGATATATGCTTTTTTATGTAGAATTGCTGAAGGCTAGAATCAAGAAGAAGCTTTGAAAATGGAGATAACCAATGTCACTGAGTATGAGGCTATTGCAAAGCAGAAATTGCCAAAGATGGTGTTTGACTACTACGCATCTGGTGCAGAGGACCAGTGGACTCTGCAAGAAAACAGAAATGCCTTTTCCAGAATTTTGTGAGATTTTTTCCTTCATATTTTTACAGTGGTTATTTACTAAACTATGTTGCTTTGTACTCTTCCTTTGATATTTTGTATAATTGTATTTCTAAGAACACAAACAAATGTTAATATCCTGAAAAAATATGATTGACAAACACAGGTTTCGGCCACGGATTCTCATTGATGTGAGCAAGATAGACATGGCAACCACTGTCCTGGGCTTCAAAATATCCATGCCAATCATGATTGCCCCAACAGCCATGCAGAAAATGGCTCATCCCGAGGGTATGATTGTATCCATTTTCCCAACAAGATTTCATGAGCAATAGTGTATGATGTGGAGCATGATAATGCCACACTTTCTAATTTGTTGGGTTGATGTGTGAGCACAGTTCTAATCCTGATTAGGTTAAGCAAGATAAAATCCTTGTAATTGAATTACACAGACCTTAATGCATATTCCTTACTCATTAAATGATACATTGCTAGAGAAACTGATCAATGAAATGATTTCAATCATATTTAATATTTGCCATATTTTCAAAGACACTAAAGTGCACCTTCTACTTAAGCCTTCATTTTAAAATTTTTGGTCAGTCACACATCGGAGATTAGACATCTTGGTCAATAGCACATCAGACATATAGCGTTATTCAATTAATGTTTTGATAATATAACCTATATTGGTAGTTCTGTTATGTAACTACAAATTAGAGGTAGTTCTGAAAAGTTTCTTATCATCTAGTTCTAATAAATGGATAATACAAATTCTGTGGCATTTTTTATTAGGAAAACTTTACAGTAGGGAAGTAACAAGATATTTAAATTTGTTGACATTTTTATATGGAATAGTTTAATTTCAAATCCCTCTTGCAAACACTGCTAGACTAACTACCAAGAGCATGGATTTGTGTTGGATGATGTATATATTTTTTTCTTGTGCAGGAGAATATGCAACAGCAAGAGCTGCATCTGCAGCGGGAACAATCATGGTACTTGTCTTTTGTGTTTATATTCCCTTTTTAATTAGGAAACTAGGAGTGTTTCACTTCATTAATCACCATATATTCAGGAAAATTTTCTTTTGCCAAAAACAGTTTATAATCACTACTAGTGGCGGAATATCCCTTCTTTATCAATGGTTCAATTTAATATAGACAATGTTGAAACTTTTCAATCGGGGGATTTGCTGAGGATCTTCCATTTTCTGCCTCAGAGATCATACCTTTGTTACTTCATGCAGAATATTTCATGCACACTCCAATTAACATAAAAAGATTATATGCTTGTGAATTTATTTGCTGTTTATCAATTTATGTCCATTGAACTATGAGATGATGGGCTCTATGTTCCTTTATTTATGATTAACATTTTGGTTCTTTTAGACTTTGTCCTCATGGGCTACTTCAAGTGTTGAAGAGGTGGCTTCAACAGGACCAGGCATTCGCTTTTTCCAGCTATATGTAAGCTTGTAAAACTTTCATCAACAGGACCTGGCATTCGCTTTTTCCAGCTATAACGATTTGTTTTACTTACATGATTTGTTCTCTTTTGTTTAGGTGTACAAGGACAGGCATGTTGTTGCTCAGCTTGTGAGAAGAGCTGAAAGGGCTGGATTCAAAGCTATTGCCCTTACTGTTGATACCCCAAGACTTGGACGCAGAGAAGCTGATATTAAGAACAGGTACAAGTCTTCTAGCATATTTGGATTCACGTTTAATTGGTAATGAATCCACATTTACTTTAAAGCTACTAGTTATAGTTTGCGTTGGATCAATGTTTATATAATTTTCAATGTGATTCCAAATATGCAATTCAATCTTGTTATTTGTTATATTACTTTCTCAATGGATATTGTCAGCTTTTCTTTTGAGTTCACGCTTTACAGACCAAATCTTGCAATTAAAAATAGTTATGAATTGTCTCATACAGATTCACACTGCCACCATTTTTGACATTGAAGAACTTTGAAGGATTGGACCTTGGAAAGATGGACAAAGTAAGATGAGTTATTACAAAATTATTTCATTGGGTTAGTTTTCTTGCCTTCATCACTTATTGAATTGTTGTCTTGGTCTCTTTAGGCTGATGACTCTGGACTTGCTTCATATGTAGCTGGTCAAATTGATCGTACTCTAAGCTGGAAGGTATGTAAAATAATCAAACAAAACAATTTTTTTTTTCTGGATTTAGCATCGAAAAGTAGTAAACTTTTATTGAAAAAGAAGACACTTATTATATTAGAGATACAAAAATGTAAAAATGTAATAAGTACATTTTTTCTGATAAAATCTTACTATTTTTAGTTGTTTAAACTCAGTTATAAGGTTGAGGTAAACAAAATTGTTTTTTTTAATAACTTTGGTAGTTATCCTGTTCCTATAATGGGCAAGATTTTATTAAAGTGAAATACAAGTGACAAATTTATTGGTCCAGTTCATTGATTTGATTCATAAGTTGCTTGCAAGTTGACATTAGACAAAGAATCCTCCTGCTTCCCTTAGAGGAATATAGAAAATAAGTTCAATTTGATCAAAGTTTACATTTGGTTTCATCATTTATATATACATATATATATGGAACTTTCAAGGCTCCACTGAATAGAGTCTTCCATCTTAATAATCTTTTTTTATTTTGTAGGATGTGAAGTGGCTTCAGTCAATCACCAAGATGCCAATTCTGGTGAAGGGTGTACTGACTGCTGAGGATGGTAAGGAAAACAAAAGCTGTTTTCATCTGTTCTTTGTGAATATTTTATCAGAATGACCCTTTGATTACCAGTTAAAAATGTATTATTGCACTTTCCAATAAAAAAACACGTTCTAATAAAAATACATGGCATAAATTATGCACATATTTTAATTATATTGAACGACTCAAAATTAATGTCATCAAAATAAATTCTACTCAATTTAAAACCAAATGGGCGCGAAAATCTGTGGCTAAAATCAGTTTTGACACATATCCTAATTACATTCAAAGATTCAAAATTAGTTCAACTCAACTTTAAAACGAGACTAATTTTTTCTTGCATAACATGGCAGCAAGGATAGCAGTACAAGTTGGTGCAGCTGGAATTATAGTGTCCAATCATGGAGCTCGACAACTTGATTATGTGCCAGCCACTATATCAGCCTTAGAAGAGGTACATCAACTTTAAGTTACATCATCTCAGTCATCTTGAAACTTCTTCACACCATTCTAAGGCTCTTACACATAATTCTGTCATTAAAACTTAAGGTTGTGAAAGCTGCTGAAGGTCGTATTCCTGTATTTTTGGATGGTGGTGTACGCCGTGGAACTGATGTCTTCAAGGCATTGGCACTAGGTGCCTCTGGCATATTTGTGAGTACATCATAACCTCTTCCAAAAGCTATTATATTCCTTGGCTTTTCTATTTTGGGATAGCATTTTCATATATTAGCTCCCTATTTATTGTTTGTTATACTTTATAAACTTCTAAGTTATGCTTTATTAAGCCCTACATAATTCACAGTGAATTCTATTATAGTTGCTTTTATTGTGTCATTCTCTCTTACCAAAATTTTTGATAACTCAATCTCTAATATACTCTTCGTTATTGCAATATCATAAAGGTGTTAGTTAAGAAATGAATATATAATTCTTTAGAAGATCATGTTAAAAATATATTGAAAATCATGGTATTTTTCATATTTTACTAGTGTCCTTAGCACATCAATTTTAACATTTACCTCAAGTAAAATTCATATTGACGCCAATGACTTTCTATTAAATTTGTTTCATTTATTATTAAAAAAAATACTAACAAGACGCTTTATTATTTATGATTTGAATATATTTTTCAATGTTAACATTCGTCTCTTTGTTATAAGAGGATCGAAGTCCGATATTTAATAACTCAAGCTAACAAAAAACACGCACACAATGTGTAAACTAAGGTTAAGTAATTAACAAACTTTGCTGTGTGTTAGATTGGACGCCCTGTGGTGTATTCCTTGGCTGCTGAAGGAGAAACTGGTGTAAGAAAAGTGCTGCAAATGCTACGTGATGAGTTTGAACTAACCATGGCCTTAAGTGGTTGCCGCTCACTCAAGGAAATTACTCGTGATCACATTGTCACTGATTGGGACCACCCTCGCACTCACCCACGTGCATTGCCAAGATTATGAGTATAATGTGGTGCACAACGCTTCTATATATGTTTCATGAACATCTTCTCATCCCTTCTTTTCCTTTTTGGGTGAACTCATTTAAGCTTATATTTGGAAAACTGCATGCTTTCTTTGTAAGCATTATATGATGATGATACTTGTGTGGCTACTACTGCTGCTGCATGAACTCATTGTATATTCTTTTGAGTAATTTATCTACTCTCTCTCTATATATATTGCTTTTGTTATACAAAACTTCTCAATTTGTACACCTAATACAAGTTTTTTCATATTTTAAAAATTGATTTTCTTAACATGTGTCTAAAGATACTTGATAAGAAGTTAATAAATGACAAAACTGAAGTATAATATCATTAATATTTTCCAATTAAGATTAGTGTTTTGACCTTGGTAATAAAGATAATATTAAAAGTTGACACACATTGTTGAGACGAAATTTTAATTTTAATAATAATAAAAAGTACCAAAATATCTATAATACTATATTTAAGTTTTATGCATTAATAAATAGTAAATTTTTACTAAAATGTATAACGCTTAATGTTATTAATACATTAAATTCTATGATATCCTAGTTACATATTTTAATAAAAAATTATTATATATGCATAATTTTTTGTTGCGAGCTCTTGTGCACATATCAAAAAAATTACTTATAAATACACTTTATTTCAATTAGTTTCAATTTTTTTTTCAAGCATTTTGACAAAAGACAAGTAAATTAATGGTCAATTTTTTAATTCTAAAATAAAGAAAAATTCCATAATTTAATACAAGTTATGGCTCATTACTCTTTATACAAAACATTTATAATTTTCATACCTTTCACCAACTTTATCATCTCTATCTAAATATAATAAATCTATCCAAATTTCTAGGCAAACTTAGAGCCTATTTAGAAGAACTTATAAATAATTTATAAAAAATTAATTTATAACATAAGTCATCATTTTCTAAAAAACTTAATTAAATGTGTTTAAATAAGTAATTATCAAATTGCCCTCTTATTGTTTGATGACACTTGTTCAAATGACATTATTAGAACATAAGTCATCATTTAAATAGTTAAAATGACATTATTTATTAAGTAAATTATTTTAATTTATTCAAATAAATTTTATTATTAAATTTATGATATGAATAATTTTTTAAAAGAATTTATTGAATAAATATTTTAATAAAAAATTATCAAAACTCGCTTTTATTATTTGGTGACATTGTTTTCGTTCTCATTTAATGAACGAGAGTATTATGACTTTATTGACAATTTTAGAATGTGTTCATAATTCATATTTTATAATTTTATTTTACTTTTATTTTTTGTGCAAATGTAGGGAAGTAAGTGGTTAAGATTTAATGTAAGTGGAGGGGAAATTATGGATAAGTTTGATTTACAATAGAATAGTTAGGTTAGAGGGATGTAAAAAGGGGAAGATGTAGGTCACCTGTCATATATGTGATAATTGTTTTTGTTGATTTTAAGACTACTTCTTAAATAGACCTGTCTCGTTTGCATTTAAGGATGAAATAGATTAGGTCAGACTAGACTTTGTATAAATAGATCTGTTTAAATTTTTAAAATTTAAGTTTGACCTATTATCTTGTAGATGCTTTTATATTAAGCTTAACCTCAGTTTTTCAAACCATATATTGAATTATATTTGGTTTATCACTTTGAACATTTATAACAACATCACATATACCTATTTATCACTTTCAAACCATATATTCTATTTAAACAAGTAAATTATTAAACATACAACAAATATAATTAAATGAACATCAATTAATAAATCATTAAGCAAATCAAGTAACATAAAGTTTTACACTTCAAATCAACAAATACAATATAACAAAATAAATTTTAGACCTAAAATTAACAAATACAACAAGCAAAATTCTAAAATACATAAATGACAATATTGTTGCAAAGTAAAGCATAAATACATTAATGAAAAAGATGCATCAAGCTAGAAACAAATAAGTGATCTCTTCATATATATATATATATATATATATATATAATAGTGATTGCAAATATTCTTTAAAAACAACTTAAGAAGTTATTACCTTTATTTTCTATCAAATTATATTTGTGACAATCAATCTCTTCCACAAATTATGCCTAAATAAAATCATCATTCAACCAAGAGTAATATTCATCAATAACTCTACCTCTAGTAATAAACGTAGATTCTAGTATTATGTCGTTCCTTCACCACTCCAAGACATCAAAAAGGTTGTTAAGGAATTATAACATTTTTATCAAGATAAGCTTACAACTTAGATTTCATTGGAAGAACAACTTCTTTTTCATGTACTATGATTAGAATTTGGGCTAGTATAAGAATGATAAAAGATTATGATTTGTTACCACCAACATTAACTTCAATAGAGGATGATTCTTCTAGAATTATAAACACATATTCACCATATAGTTGCCCCAATGAATCTCTCAACTTTTTATATTCTTTCTATCAACTTCATTAGTTTTATATATAAAGGGAAACATATATTAACAGTATGAAATTAAATAAGTGGCTAAATTAATTACTTCCAAAACATGACAATTTTTTCAACCTTATCCCAACCTTTATCTGACGGTGCACACTCATAATGTGGCTCTCTTAATAAGTCACAAATGCAATCTTGAACTTCAATATTGTTGATAATATTTGAAATATAGAAATCCATTTTCTTAGACAATCAATTATAAATTTTTTATCTTTCAACCTTTCTTGTTCAAGAACATCAAAAAAGACTTTTAGTCTTATATTATTGTAATTGATATACTCTATACTTACCTGAATATTGTAAGACACATCTTCAATCTTACTAAGGTCATCATCTTGCACTAATAGTTTAATATTATATATTATATAGGCTTAATTATGTTTTTGGTTCCTATAAATATTAGCATTTTTGTGATTAGTGCCTACAAATATTTTTGTTAGGAAGTGATCCTTCAAAAATTGGTAATTTTAGAATTGGTTCCTGCCATTAATCCTCCTTTGTTAAGTGCTGAGCTGGCTAACGGAAAGATAGCTCAATATTCCACATGGCTATCTTGAGGCCCAATCATAGCCTACGTGGCATGCCACATTATTTATTATTTATTATTTTTATTTAAAATTAAAATTTATAAATAAGCCATTGAACAATTTTATATATTTACAAATAAACCCTTCTTCTTTCTCAATCAACTCTTCTCCCGCAACCCCACCTCCCCCACCCCTAACCTCCACCACCACCCTCACCCTACTCACTATGATACCAAAGAGCCTCTTTTCTATTTTCTTTCCCTAAACATCATTTATTATTTATTATTTTTCAATCATTCCATATATGAGTTGCCACAATCTGCCCAAGATAATATTTGGTGGATGATTGGTGTAAATAATTTTAGCAGAACTATCATTTTAATCACTCTTAGGCAGATTAATCAGGAGATTTATGGGTTCAAATAATATCCTTTGAAACTGAATTATTTTTTTGAAGAAGAGATCACATGATTTTTGCTGCAAATCATTGGACAGAAAATAAGAGTAGCAAGTGAGAATGTAGCCATGAATGTCTGGTACACAAGATAACATAGGATTAATAGGAAAAAGTGGGGAAAGAATAAACAAGTAATATTTGCTAAAAATAAATTGGCAGACTCAATTAGAGGTAAAGTCGAGAATCACAATCAAGAAACACTGAACAATAGAGAACACTGGTACCTTGGCAGAACAGTGAGAGCATTGACACAATAAGATCAAAGATAAAATTTTGAGTAGTCATGACCTAAGAGACACAGATACACAAGTGGATTGGAATAATGGCATCATGACCATCAATAAATCTGAAAGAAAAAAAACCATATGGATTCTAAATTACTAATTTTAAAAGGACTACTTCCTAACAAAAATATTTGTAAGGACTAATCACAAAAAGATCTATATTTATAGAGACCAAAAACATAATTAAGCCTATTATATAATATATACACACACACACACATCTAACATGAAATAATGCACCACTAAGAAATAACTTACTAGTCAATAACAAATTATCCTTTAGACTTCTTAGACATTATAAGATGCATTAAAATTGATCTTTTTTTAATTCTTATACTTTCAAACGCTTAAAATTGCATCAGTCACCTTAATGTCATGCCTTGGAGTAGGAATTTTTACAAAATTTAACACTCTTTTGAAGTTTATTCCATAATCAATGAAGTGTCCAATGATAACCATATACTCTATTACTTGGTGACATGATTTCCACATATACATGGTTAAACTAATTTTACTAATATTTTTCAAAAAAAAATTCAAAATATTCTTTTCTATCTTATATATATAATCAGCTTAGGCTATTTCATAATCAACTTTTTGAAAATCTAGATTTGCTTATTGAATAACCCACATCCAAAATTCATCTTCAACAATATTAAAAGGGTTCTGATGTATTGTAATAAACAATTATCTCCCTTATTTTCTAATTACAATATCTACACATCAGAGTTAGTAAATGAGTTGCATGAATTAGGCTAGAATGGAATAACAATTTGCCTATTTTTATGTAACCATGTGCAACCTCCTTTGTAAGTAATGATCAATGCGTATTTTCAAATGGGTAGTGTTAAACCCTTTTCCACAAGTAGCAACTTTATCTTTGCAATATTTGCAAACAACTTTCTTTGCATCTCTAATGATTTTTATTTCATCAAATCTACCTAAACAACTATTTTTTTTTGTGTCACTTCCTCGTGATGACTACATTCTCACTCTCTTATATTTTATAGTTCATTTGACTTAAATTCAATAATGATCAATTTATCACTTCATTAACAGGTATAACAATAGTAGATGAAAATGTTTTATTGCTCTAAAATGGAGAAGATATTTTGTTAACCTAGAAATAGGGGAAAAGGAGAAAAAAAGATAATGAAAAATAGGTAAATATAATACAAATACAATTAAAATTATAATGAAAAAAATAGTAAAAGAAAGAATTACATATCATGTTTAATAGATTTTTTTCTTAATGTCAAACTTAACTTATTTAATCAATTAAGTCTTTTAAAAAGTTTGAATTAAACTTAAATAAACTATATTAGACCAGGCCTTAAATAGGATAGGTTGCAAGCCCTTCTCGAATAATATGACCTATTTT